ATAGCAAGTGTGATGAGGCCACACTAGCTTTGTCACAAAAGGGCACACATTTTGACGAGTGGAATATAAACAAGTGAGAAATTGTGATAGGGCGGCAACGGAATAAGAGGGTAAAGTGTAGATAGATGGGCCAAGACAGAAAGCAGTGATAGTGTAACCGTTTTCAGCAGAATAATTGTCGAGGGATTGACTTTACTTGTCTCTTTGACGAGTTCGTAGCTTGTTGTGGAGTATGGCCAAACTCATGATGATGCCGACTACGATACCGTCAAAACGTCAAAGTTTATACCAAGTCTACGCTCTGATGCTTACGAATTATGATACCTACTATGACAGAGGACTTCGGACAAGGTGGGTTCTACAAAGTCGCCCTGATAACAAGACCAAGTTGTGAAAACGAGGTCAACTCATTTCTAAAGATTGATAGCTGTTTTATACCATAATCAGTTGGGTATTCTTCACGATGTCATTGAATTTCACTAAGTCTCGCCTATTAGCTGCTTACCTTATCCCGGGTCGACTACAGTTTTTAACTCACTTGAGTCTCCTCTGCATCTCCAGCGAGATTTGATCTCTGATCGTAAATATCGTGGCAGCATTACCATTTTTCTACATGGCCATGGGTACCGGCGAGTCATAGAGCAGTTGCGATATTCAAGACAAGCCAGACCTCTTCCAACTAACATTTATAGTGAGATTGTCAATTCCCACTGCATGTGACGACGTTATTTATTTTCAATACGAGTACAAGATGTTTTCAATCAAAAAGACTTATGGTCCATTTAGTTTAGGACATATTTTGCTTTAATTGGCTTTTGTGGTAGCTGAATATTTTCGCATTTATGTGGGCAATCGGTTCAAATAAATACATGAAACAGCTGACCTTTCCATTACTTCATACACCTGTTAAGTTTAAAATTAATTTAATTCCTTCCATGTAGGCATTTGGAGCTGTGGAAGCAATGTCCGATCGTATATGTATTTACTCGAAAGGCACATTAAAGCCTGAGTTGAGCGCAGAAGATCTAGTCTCCTGCTGTGGCTGGTTCTGTGGGGCTGGTTGCCAGGGTGGAATTCCCATTCAGGCCTGGATGTATTGGAAGAATCATGGCATTGTAACTGGAGGAGACTATCAGACTAAGGATTGTTGCCGGCCTTATGAGTTCCCTCCATGTAATCATCATGTCAACGGTACTCTGCCACCGTGCGAGGGTGAATACCAAACACCTAAGTGCGAGAAAATGTGCCAAGATGGGTACAACAAATCGTATAATAACGATCTACACTTTGGTAAGTCAAGTATTAATAGAAAAGCAACATGCAGATAATTGCTTTAATATCCCATGTTTAATTGAAACCAAGATTGAGGTAGTACAAGGCCTATAAACCCAGGCTAATATGATTGTCATATAAAAATGAGCGGATTATAGGGAAGCATATAAACAAGTGGGGCAGAAGGATTTACTCAAAGGCAGGTAGATTAGTTGGTAGTTTGAATTTGGTAGGCTGGATAGCATATCATCTCATACCGGAATCGGTTTCGGTTAGCATTATCGCACATATAGCTATGAAGACATCCATACACTCGTTGATGGGCAACGAATCTCTAGCCCTTTAAATTAGGCACTTTGTTAGTATTTTTATTCTTATTCATGGTCGCTATTCGATCTCTTGTCTTGAATGGAGCCTCGGGCTCTGTTTAAATTTCACCACTATACTAGTTACTTCAATAACCCGGTTCTTTAGAGCTAGCAGGTGACAGAACCCTCTCATCATACATTTTGAAAAAATGTAAAATGATTTTCAAATAAATGACATAATGCGTTATTACCTATTATCTTCCATGATCTATAATACATAAAATATAGATATGAATACCGAGATGGCGTAGCCTTGGCTTTGGCTAGCCTTTTAACTGAGTTGGTTTTATCTAATTTTCGCAGCATGACCAGGATAACGATGACTCTGTATGACGTATCTAGTCTTGTTGTAGTAGTCATGATAAGGTCCACCATTTGTTCGTTTACTTTGTATCTATCCATTCGTTTCATCGTTAAGTTAGAAGCTATGATAGAGGAAATGAGATAAGAGAAAAAAATATAGGGAGAATGTTAGGTAAGCTACGGTTGACACGTCTCTGACGTGTTGTGACTTGGTGCTCAGAGATTGCCCTTCTCACGGCCAATCCCCGAATACGATGCCGGTAAAACACCTGGGAACCTACCAAATCCAAAATTTTAATAATAATCATGACGAATAAAGCAAGACTGGATAAGTTTTACAAGGCTTCCCTGCCACACCAATAAAGTTTTAAAAATGAGATCAAGCCAACTCTATAGAATATGGAAGTTGTTTGACCTTGTTTTCGCAACTTG